AGGAAGATAAAACCACAAATATGGGGAGAAACCAGAGCAGAAAAGCTGAAAACTCTAAAAATCAAAACGCCTCTTCTCCTCCAAAGGATCGCAGCTCCTCGCCAACAATAGAATAAAGCTGGATGGAGAATAACTTTGACGAGTTGACAGAAGTAGGTTTCAGACATCTACAGAACTTTCCACCCCAAATCAACAGAATATACATTCTTCTCAGCACTACATCACACTTATTCCAAAATTGTCCACACAGTTGGAAGTAAAGCACTCCTCGGCAAATGTAAAAGAACAGAAATCACAACAAACTATCTCTCAGACCACAGTGCAATCAGATTAGAAATCAGGATTAAGAAGCTCACTGAAAACCGCACAATTACATGGAAACTGAACAAACTGCTCCTGAATGACTACTGGGTAAATAACAAAATGAAGGCAGAAATAAAGATGTTCTTTGAAATCAATGAGAACAAAGACACAATGTACCAGAATCTCTGGGACATATTTAAAGTCATGTATAGAGGGAAATTTATAGCACTAAATGTCCACAAGAGAAAGCAGGAAAGATCTAAAATCGACACCCTAACATCACAATTAAAAGAGCTAGAGAAGCAAGAGCAAACACATTCCAAAGCTAGCAGAAGGCAAGAAATAACTAAGATCAGTGCAGAATTGAAAGAGATAGAGACACAAAAAACCCTTCAAAAAATCAATGAATATAGGAGCTGGTTTTTTGAAAAGATAGACAAAATTGATTGCTAGCAAGGCTAATAAGGAAGAAAAGAGAGAAGAATCAAATAGATGCAATGAAAAATGATAAAGGGGATATCACCATCAATCCACAGAAATGCAAACTACCATCAGAGAAAACTATAAACACCTCTATGCAAATGAACTAGAAAATCTAGAAGAAATGGATAAATTCCTGGACACATACACTCTCCCAAGACTTAACCAGGAAGAAGTTGAATCTCTGAATAGACAAAAACAGGCTCTGAAATTGAGGCAATAATTAATAGCCTACCAACCAAAAAAGGTCCAGGACCAGAAGGATTCACAGCCGAATTCTACCAGAGGTACAAAGTGGAGCTGGTACCACTCCTTCTGAAACTATTCCAATAAGAGAAAAAGAGGGACTCCTCCTTAACTCATTTTATGAGGCCAACATCATCCTGATACCAAAGCCTGGCAGAGATACAACAAAAAAAGAGAATTTTACACTAATATCCCTGATGAACATTGATGCAAAAATCCTCAACACAATACTGGCAAACCAAATCCAGCTGCACATCAAAAAGCTTATCCACCATGATCAAGTGGGCTTCATTCCTGGGATGCAAGGCTGGTTCAATATATGCAAATCAATAAATGTAATCCATCACATAAACAACCAACAACAAAAACCACATGACTATCTCAATAGATGCAGAAAAGGCCTTCAACAAAATTCAACAGCCCTTCATGCTAAAAACTCTCAATAAACTAGGTATTGATGGAATGTATCTCAAAATACTAAGAGCTATTTATGACAAACCCACAGCCAATATCATACTGAATGGGCAAAAACTGGAAGCATTCCCTTTGAAAACTGACACAACACAAGGATGCCCTCTCTCACCACTCCTATTCAACATAGTGTTGGAAGTTCTGGCCAGGGCAATCTGGCAAGAGAAAGAAATAAAGGTATTCAATTAGGAAAAGAGGAGGTCAAGTTGTCCCTGTTTGCAGATGACATGAATGTATATTTAGAAAACCCCATCGTCTCAGCCCAAAATCTCTTTAAGTTGATAAGCGACTTCAGCAAAGTCTCAGGATACAAAATCAATGTGCAAAAAATCACAAGCATTCGTCTACACCAATAACAGACAAACAGAGAGCCAAATCATAAATGAACTTCCATTCACAATTGCTACAAAGAGAATAAAATACCTAGGAATCCAACTTACAAGGGATCTGAAGGACCTCTTCAAGAACTATAAACCATTGCTCAATGAAATAAAGGAGTACACAAACAAATGGAAGAATATTCCATGCTCATGGATAGGAAGAATCAATATCGCGAAAATGGCCATACTGTCCAAAGTAATTTATAGATTCAATGCCATCCCCATTAAGCTACCAATGACTTGCTTCACAGAATTGGAAAAAACTACTTTAAAATTCATATGGAACCAAAAAAGAGCCTGCATTGCCAAGATAATCCGAAGCAAAAAGAACAAAGCTAGAGGCATCATGCTACCTGACTTCAGACTATACTACAAGGCTACAGTAACCAAAACAGCATGGTACTGGTACCAAAACAGAGATATAGACCAATGGAACAGAATAGAGGCCTCAAAAATACCACCACACATCCACAATCATCTGATCTTTTACAAACCTGACAAAAACAAGAAATGGGGAAAGGATTCCCTATTTAATAAATGGTGCTGGGAAAACTGGCTAGCCATATGTAGAAAGGTGAAACTGGATCCCTTCCTTACACCTTATATAAAAATTAATTGAAGATGGATTAAAGACTTAAATGTTAGACCTAAAACCATCAAAGCCCTAGAAGAAAATCTAGGCAATACCATTCAGGACATAGGCATGGGCAAGGACTTCATGACTAAAACACCAAAAGCAATGACAACAAATGTCAAAATAGACAAATGGGATCTAATTAAACTAAAGAGCTTCTGCACAGCAAAAGAAGCTACCATCAGAATGAACAGGCAACCGACAGAATGGGAGAAAATTTTTGCAATCTACCCATCTTACAAAGGGCTAATATCCAGAATCTACAAAGAACTCAAAGAAATTTACAAGAAAAAAACAAACAACTCCATCAAAAAGTAGGCAAAGAACACTTCTCAAAACAATCATCTATGCAGCCAATAGACACATGAAAAAATGCTCATCACTGGCCATCCGAGAAATGCAAATCAAAACCACAATGAGATACCATCTCACACCAGTTAGAATGGTTAGAATGGCAATCACTAAAAAGGCAGGAAACAACAGATGCTGGAGAGCATGTGGAGAAATAGGAATGCTTTTACACTGTTGGTGGGAGTATAAATTAGTTCAACCATTGTGGAAGACAGTGTGGCGATTCCTCAAGGATCCAGAACTAGAACTACCATTTGACCCAGCAATCCCATTACTGGGTATACACCCAAAGGATTATAAATCATGCCATTATAAAGACACACGCAGACGTCTGTTTATTGTGGCACTGTTCACAACAGCAAAGACTTGGAACCAACCCAAATGTCCATCAATGATAGACTGGATTAAGAAAATGTGGCACATATACACCACAGAATACTACACAGTCATAAAAAAGGATGAGTTCATGTCCTTTGCAGGGACATGGATGAAGCTGGAAACCATCATTCTCAGCAAACTATCACAAGGACAGAAAACCAAACACTGCATATTCTCACTCATAGGTGGGGATTGAACAATGAGAACACTTGGATACAGGGTGGGGAACATCACACACCGGGGCTTGTCGTGGGGTGGGGGGCTGGGGGAGGGATAGCCTTAGGAGAAATACCTAATGTAAATGATGAGTTGATGGGTACAGCACACCAATATGGCACATGTATACCTATGTATCAAACCTGCATGTTGTGCACATGTACCCTGGAACTTAAAGTATAATTTAAAAAGGAAGAAAAATTAAAAATAAAAAAATAAAAAAAATGATGTGTGTAATACTTTATTTAAGGGTAAGCTTGAACTTCCATCCCAGGATAGAAAATAAGTTAACAGTACGTGGTTGGATGCCATTCAGTTTCTTAATGTTGTTTTCCTTATTACCAGTTGTCTTTACGTTCAGCTATTTTAACATGAATATTTCTAGGAATCTATCCCAAATAAAAGGGCTATGCACATCTTTGGTATAAAGCATTTCACAAATTGTGTTCCAAAAAGCAATAATTCTGTGAGATATTAATAACAGAGGTTTCACAAAACACACACACTCATTTCATGGTCAATTTGGAGAATGCCATGTTACAAGTTAAACGGCTTTTTCTTCCCCTCCCTTTCAGGACTTCTCTCTATTTGTTTCACATGTTAACACACATGTACATATCTTAGAGAAAGAACTTATATCAGTATTTGGTCTTTTCCCAACATATTGATTACAGAACCTCTTTAATTGTAAAATTAAAGTGTTCATGCAGGCAGAAGAGGTAGCGAGTCATTTTAAAAATTCTAAATTTAGTAAAAGTTTAGGATATAGTAAATTGTCCGCTTAAATTTTAGTAAATTTTATGAACAATTTACAATTCACTAATTTGCTATTTCTATGGTAACTTATATGTATGCTTACAATTTACAATTCATTAATTTGCTATTTCTATGGTAACTTAAATGTATGCTTATTTCAATCACTTCAGTTCCAAAAATTAAAAATAAAATTCTAGATAAATTTATTTTTTCTTATTTTATTATTTCTGTAATAAGTCATATTCAAGTTGAACTGGAAATATGAGTATCTTACCATATTCCTCTGCCACATTTTGCAAAGTTTCTTGCCTACTTGGTTAAATAAAATTGACCATATTCTTTAAATCTACAAAAATGAGTTTAAACACCAAAACATCTTTAATTAAAAGAATATAATACAATACTCTTTAAATAGTACACATACATGTTGTATATATAAAGCCAGTAATAATTTATAATAATTATTGGATAAAGACTTCAAAGGGTTAACTATTTTTTTTCTATGTCAGTCTAGTCTATGTTTCCAGGACTCTCAGAGAGTTAACAGGGTGAGTCTCATCTATAAATATTTACTCTTCATGACAATCTAAAAATAACCATCTGCAACTATTTAAATTTAAATTCAGAAAGGTTTATTTTTTAGGAGTTTTTCATCCTTAAAAATATAAGAAAGCAGGAATTCTTCTTTTTAAAATACCGTGTGCTGTGAAGTCCAGTTTGTAATAATGTCCATTGTACATCACTACAAATATCAGTAAAACAAAGTTGAAAACTACTTTCCATACCTGCCTAAATTTTGCACGGGCCTCTTTCTCTTTCATTCTTCCATGGGCAACTAAGTAATCAAATACTTCACCTGAATCAGAAAGGTAAAGCAGGTAGTAAAATATACATAGATTTTTGGTTAACAATATATGCAATGTCAAGTTTTTTCCTTGTTTATAAAGAAACTTTTGGCCCACAATTTTCTGCTAGTTTATGTAAGTTACAAACTAATACATGAATAGAAAAAAGGAAAAAATTACATATAAAATTGAGTATCTGCAGCAGTTTGTGATTTAGCAAAACTCTTTAAAAAATAAGTCATAAAAACACAACCAAGAAACTTGCTTTCTGCTTTCAAGTATTATGTAAAAATACAGTCAACTCTTTATTATTCATTCTAGTAAAGGGAAGCCACAGCCTGGGAAATCAAAAATTAAATTTGGCTTTGTATTTTGGGCCTACATTTCAAACAAAATGATTACGTGTTTTTTGTTGGATTGCTCTTTTAAATTCTCCCTGTCACGTAGCCTGGATAAAATTCCATCTCACTACTTCCATCCACATTGATTTCTTTCTTTCTTTTCCTATACTCTGTGTTTATTCTCACTCTACTCATTTCATACATTTCAGTAGTTAGCCACAAATTATACAGAATTAAATCTTTTGTGTGTGTATCTCTATTACCCCAGATGAACTGTAAATTGCTTGAACATCATCATAATATCTGTACTTAATTTGCATCTTCATCTCCATGGCAGAACACAAAGTGGATAGATAAATGTTTGGTGAAATAATTTAAAAATAACTAGAAGCCGTAGAAATTTTCTACTAGATCCATTACTTTACATGTCTGTAAGTTTTTCTCCTTTTTCTCTAGTTAGTAATAGCTTAAAACTAAATTAAACTTGAGACACAATTTTAAAAATAAAATATTATCTTAGTATAAGAGTTAAACTTATTTTTGTGTCCTTATAATTTGTACCATATAGATATCCATGTATATTAAAAACTCACAAAATGGCTTCAAGTGTTCTTGTAAAGTATAGCAAAGTGGTAAAAACAAAGACTCAGACTTTAGAATCAGACCAATTTTGGTATGAATTTTGTTTTAGCCCTAAGTACTACTGAAAGACATTATTAGGAAGATTTCTTAAGTTCATTAAGGCTCAGTTTCTACCTACTGCCTACACACATGGTTGTTGTAAGTATTAAATGAAATAATGCATGTGCTTAGCACAGCAACTGGCATATAGTAAGCACTCAATAAATGGCATTTTTGTACCTAGGTATACAGATACATTATATATATATATATATATATGCAATATCAATCCTAGGATATAAATAAAATATTAAAAACCAAATACGTAATGAATGTATGTCACATGAAACTAATACATCTACAATGTTAGACAGCATATTATATAATATTAAGCATATTTAAGTGATTAAATGGGATGATGAGAACAGAGAAATGAATGGATGCTCTAGTTGACTCATCATAGTAGTTAATTCTAGATATGTGGTAATAGTTGTTAATTCTAGTTAACCCATCACAGTAGTTAATTCTAGATATGTGAGTTTAGGCTGGGAAAGATATATATAAGAGTTCGAAAAATTTGGATCTACTCTTAAGTACTGCCTAGAATACACTTACCCCAGATATTTACATGACATAATCCTGTACTTATCATATATTGTTTGTGTATGATTTACTTCCCCAACTAGAATGTAAGCGTCTTGAGGGCAGGGACTTTGTCTTTGCTCACTCATGTATCCCCAGCACCTAGAACATTACCTGATATATGGTAAGCATTTTATAAATGTTGTTTGAATGAACAAAAGAAAGAATAAACATATCATTTCACAGTAGTCCTGAAACCTACTTTTAATAGGCTCCTTTGGATTAAACATGTTTCAAAATAAAAAAAAAAAAGATGTATTTGATTTTCTAATCACTGAAAATTTTCATTCCATTAGTGAACCAGAATCAACTCTTGGCAAAGAGGCAGTTGTCTGACTTAATTCTTACTCACATTACCTTTCCAGTGTACATGTCAGGTTTGATCCTAAACCAACTAGAAATTTCAGAGGAAAAATATTCAGTGTTTTATTTTCCAGAGTCACCTTGCCATTTATGGATTAAAAAGGCAAGAAAATGATTCTAGATTTACTGTCACAGAACCATGATGGTTTTTGTCACAGAATCACTAACTTGCAAAACTCAAAGAAAACCTATTGCAGGAATCAGAATTTAATGAGACTAGCTGGTATGGTCTGAATTCCTGTACCCATTTCTCTACACTACTCCCCACTGTGCTTCCCAAATATGCTACTGAAGGAGAGTGGTGAAGGCCTTACATGCTCTTACTCTAGCCATTACTCCCCTTCATTAGTACCAATAGAGAGTTGACTGTACTTACCATTAACCGTTAAGTCAGTACACATATTAATATTAACACAGTCTTGCAGTGGGCCTTTATAAAAACATAAGGGTGTCTACAGAATTTTAGCAGTCTATAATAGTTTCCCAAATCAAAGTGGATCTAGCTCCTTTCTCTAAACTTTACATCACTAAAAGGAAGAAAAGAGTCTAACTAAACTAAAAATAATATTCGGGGTTCCTATGCGACAGATTATTACAGCAATCTAACTGAAGGACATAAAAATAAAGAAATAGTTCATTATGTGGTATTTGTAGATTCATTGCTTTTATTATAGATACACATTTTATGCAAATTTACATGGTTGTTTTAATATAATTTTTAAAAGCCTATCATAATAAACATTAATGATAGATTTTCAAGTTAAGTAAAAGAACCTACACTGAAATATTTTTTCAGGTTACAAAAGCTTTGCCAAAAAAAAAAAAAAAGGACTAAAATATTCAATCTGTATAAACAACTGCAAACGCAATTAAATATATTAACATCTATAGTAAAGCTTTTTAGAAATACGAGGCCAGGTGCAGTGGCTCACGCCTGTAACCCCAGCACTTCGGGAGGCCGAGGTGGGCAGATCATGAGGTCAGGAGATACAGACCATCCTGGCGAACACAGTGAAAACCCATCTCTACTAAAAATACAAAAACATTAGCCAGGCATGGTGGCAGGCACCTGCAGCTCCAGCTAGTTGGGAGGCTGAGGTAGCAGAACGGAGTGAACCCGGGAAGCAGAGCTTACAGTGAGCTGAGATCGCGCCACTGCACTCCAGCCTGGGCAACAGAACAAGACTCCGTCTCAAAAAAAAAAAAAAGAAATGCGAGACAGTACAAATATAGCTTAGTTGCTACAGACTAGATAAATCCTTTTTATTCTAGTTCACATAAAATCTGAATCACCACTAAAATTATAAATTTCATTAGCTAAGAGCTCAATATAAGTTCAACACTAAGTTTTTCTATTGATTAGCAAAAAATCAATCAGCCAAATAATTTCAGATGCCTTCTTTCTTCTTCAGTTGCTTAAATCCTGAGCCCTTAAAACCTCCCTTTAAGTATTCTTTATTTTTACTTATTAAATGATTAATTCCATAAATTTTCAACCCATTTCTGAGAAAGTGAAGTCCTAAGTCTAAGAGAAAAGTGATTCTGAGCTGACGTATTTCTCGTTTAAGGGAAAGTGCAGGAGATGAAGGTGATTTTCTATTATATATCAGTGTTTAAAAATCATTCCTATTTTTGACATCATGATAGTCAAAACATATGTGATATTCTACTACAAATGCATCTTGCTATCTCCCTGTCAACTCAGTCCTCTAACATGTAAAATATATAGATCAATACTTGTTTAAATGGAAACATTTAATTCATTTTATGAATTATCTTGGAAAGGCATATATATTGAGAATCTGTCATATGTGAACAATCAGTGAAATAAACGCCTGACCTAGAACAAGCTTTTATTACAGATTTTATTAAATACATTCTGTACCTGAGCCCTACTGATAGCCAAGAGTTTCTAATAATGATATGATATAATAAAATTTAGATAAGAGAATCAATACATTTATAAGATGACAATACAAATTTAACTTTTCAAAAAATGTCCCTAAGTAAACTGTAAATAAGCCAAAAATTCCACTTATAATAATGAAGGATCAAAAGGTCTTAAAAGTAAACACTGAATTTTTCTTAAGATGTAATTTGAAGGCATTTAAATAAAACAATACATTCATTAACAACACTGAAGACATAAATGTCATAATGAACCCTTAAGTGTTAATATTTCTGTATGTCTCAGCAAAGAGAACTTTTCAATCACCCTCATTCTTACCCCCACTCGCGTATTCCATGACTAAATAAAGAGTCTTCTCTGTTTCAATAACTTCAAACAATTTTACTGAAAAAAAAATTAGAGATATAACTCTATAACTGTTAGCACAGATTGAATATGCTTTAAGAAAATCTAAGGCAATACTAAACTAGTAGAAAACTTGACTATTTACTAAACATTATTAATCACAATTTTAAGTTCAAAAAGTTTCTCAAAGATTATTATTCCTATGACAGAAAACTACTTACCACAAAGTGATTTAGAACCAACTTTTTAAGTTGAAAAAGTTGTTTCTAGGATTAAAAAGCCATTACTTTTTCAATAAGGTAATAAAAGGAACTCTTAAAATCAGAAAAATAGAATTTTAAACTGAAGTTTAAAAAGAGACTATGTTATATTACGGTGAGCAATTATAAAATGTTAAACAATCTTTGGTACAGAAACAAAAGAATTTCTGTATTTCTGTCATACTATAGAAGTTTCTGGTTAGAAAAACTACCAAATTATCAAATTTATGTAGTTGAAATAGTCACCACAAATAAGCACTTTAACAACTATATACAGTAAGATTTTTAAATGTGCAAAAAAAAAAGTGTTTTAAAAAAACAGATTTTAAAAAGATTTTACTTCTCACAATCAAATGATTTCATATAATATCTAATCAATAAGTTTATTTGTAAAGATGGGGAGAAATCAGAACTTACTGAAAAATTTTACTAAAATTGAAATCAACTTATTTTCTTTAAAATGCAGTTATTTTGCCTGTAAACTATGATCAAACCCAAGTGCATAGTATCAAAATATCTGAAAGTCATTTTTTTTTTTAAATAAATACCTAAATGACCTGCAATCTCACTTAGAGACTTTTTTTTTTTTTTTTTTGAGACAGGGTCTCTGTTGCTTAGGCTGGAGTGCAGTGGTGCGATCTTGGCTCGCTGCAACCTCCACCTCCCAGGCTCAAGTAATCCTCCCACCTCAACCTTCTGAGTAGCTGGGCCTACAGGTGTGCACCATCACGCCTGGCTAATTTTTTTTTTTTTTTTTTGTAGAGACAGAGTTTTGCCATGTTGCCCAGGGTGGTCTCAAACTCCTGAACTGGGGCAATCCACCTGCCTCAGCCTCCCAAAGTGCTGGCATTACAGGCATAAGCCACGATGCCCAGCCAGAAAGACATTTTCTTCTTTTAAATTTAGAGACATTTAATCAGGAAATTAAAAAAAAATTGTATGCATTAATTCCAAATGGTATCAATTATTTTAGTGGAGAGCAGAAGATAGCAAGGTAGCAGAAAACAGCAATCTGTAGCTTCCATTTAGCTTCTTTGTAATCTATTTTTACCCAAAGTATCACTTTCCTGGGTTATCATTCAGGTTATCACTTTTCTTCTGCTTAAATAAACTATCCTTAAACATTGTGTCTTTTCAGGCCAGGCCCGGTGGCTCAAGCCTGTAATGCCAGCACTTTGGGAGGCCGAG